GACATTCTTGCCTCATGGAACAAATAAGTAACAGTTCTTTAGTATTGAGTGTGGTGCTAGATATAAGGTTTTTTTTTTTTTTCAAATGCCCTTTATCAGTTGAGAAAGTTGCCTTCTATCTCAAGATTTTCAAGAGGTTAGAGTCGTGATCACTGTTAGATTTCATCTCACTGCTTGAGTCCTTGTCCTGTTTCAATTTATTCTCTACACAGCTGCCAGAATTATCCTAAAATATTAGTCAAATCAATACCTCCATATACTCTCTACCCATACTTATTTTTCTCCCTGGGGCATATCACCTTTTAATATACTCTACAATTTACTTATTTATATTGTTTATTTCATTTTACTCCACTCAAATTTATGCCCTAAGTGGACAATCTTCATAAGTTCCCTAATATAATTACATTGTTTAGGACAATATCTTGATGCATAGTAGGTAACCAATAAATATTTGTTGAACACCAGTGAGTCAAGAAACTTTCAACCAGCTCTTTCCCAGAGATGTTGGATTATTCTGGGCAGGTTCCTTCCCTCTGTTTTCTCATACATAAAATATATGGGGGGATAAAACTAGATGCTTTATATAAAGCTCTTCTAGTTCCAAAATTGTATAAAAGAAGCTATATGCCCAGATATAATTCTGTTAATTAATCACATCAAGATACTGTTTTTTGTGGAACCCCAAGAATCCCCAAACTCTGTCTTGCCTAATGCACACCTACTCTTTGCAAGCTTTTAGTACAAATAGGTCTTTAAGAAATAAGTTATCCAGTAATTCATTCATTCAGTGGGTGTTTCTTGAATACCTATAATGTGCTAGGTTCTTGGCACATGTCAAAAAGAAAAAAAAGATAAAAATACCTAACCTTATGATGAATCGAAAAAAAATATAGAGTATGTTGTAGGTTAGTTGCGAAAGAAAGAAAGAAAGAGCATAGCAATGTTTACTATCCATGGGGTGGGTAGAAAACTGAGAATACAGAGAAGGCCCCATTTAGAAGGAGTAATTAGGAATAGACTTGAAAAAAAAATGTGAGGATTAGTCATCCAGACATTTGCAAGAAGAACATTCTGGGCCAAGAGCATAGTCAATGCAAAAGGCATGATGTCAGAGAACTACAGCCAAGTGACTTATGCCTCCTGATATCCTGGACATCCATGAAGTTATTGAATAAATAGTGAATGGGTGAATGGGTTTTGTTGGGGCAGGGGTTTATTGTCTATTTTTTTAACTGTTTAGTACACTAAAGTTGAGAATAATCTAATACCTAAACACAAATTCTTTCTTATTTTTCCTCCTAAATGTTTTTAGTATCTGTTTCTATGTCTACTGCTAATATCTTAGTTCATATCCCTTTCATCTTTTAATGAGATTGCAGTAATAAATAACCTCCCTGATCCATCACTCTGTAGGTATCATCCTCCAGTTCATAATCCCATAAATTAAATGGTGATTTCCATTTATTGTGAATGTTATCATTCTGAACGTCTAAATTTTGCATCATTGACTTGATCAGACTAGGAAAGAAGAGTATTTTACATAGATTATGGAATGGACTATTTGGAAGAAAAACTTAAATATTGTCATTATCTGGATAAATGACAAAATTGAGGCACTTATTCCTCTGGGATGAAGTTACAGGAAAATCAAGCTCAATTGCTTTCCAGTCAGCCACCTCTTCATAGCTAACTGGTCAGCATCTCTAATCATGGCTGATAGATGTGAAACAACTTCACAAATGATCAGAACAATAATAGATATTGCTTAAAGCAGGATATCTAAAGCATATGTACCCAGATGTGTATTAGCAACAGCTCCAGGTTGGAAGGCAGAAACCAAGTGTGTACCCTTCAGTAAATACTTACCCATCTCTAATATTCAATATGTCCATCTCTAAGCAGCAAGAGGTTGGAACTAAAAGACAGGTATGCTTTCAGCTCTAACTAATCTCTTGGATATTTACAAAATTTCCTATGTATCTTGAACAAAAGTTCAATTCTTCCACCAGTCTGTAAAATCCCACCAATTTGACCTTTATTCTTCAGGCATAAAGGTGATTTCATGACATAAGAGAAATATATTTCACTGAGAAACCAGTTCCTTGTGTTGGATACTGAAAAGATTCCATGAGGGTTTAATAAAGAAAATTGTGTTCTTGCTCTCCACTTACATTATTATTTCCAAGACACTGCCTCTTATGAGTAATGTCAAGGGGAAATTACTTTATGTGTACGAGCAGTCCTTGGGATGTGAAGAATAAGACCACAACAAATAGATTATAAATACAGGATGCAAAGGTAGTGATTTCTGATTAGGAGCAGATTTGTAATAACTTTCCTATCTTCCTTTTCATCCACTTCTCTCTCATGCCACCTAAGCACAGAGAAGAAAAAGTAGATGTTTGTGAGGGCAGGGGACTTCACAAGCCAAATAATGCTGTGTTCTTTCCATTGGTTCTTCTTAGATCCTAATGCTCTCTGACCTCTGGTGTCATGCAGTGTTCCCTTCTTGTCCTCCTTCTCTCCTTCCACTTTGCTATTTACTTTAATTTTAAGATCCCTTCTAGCTTTTTCTGCACTGGGAAGCATTCTGACTGTACCCAGATAGTGCACTGCTGAGAGCCATAGCTAAGTAGGTACAACACATGGCAATTTCCTTGTCAGCCTACCCCATGTTGCTTAGAGGAAGGACTCTCCATTGTGGACCCAGGTCATTTGCAGTGACTTTGCATGAAAGGTGACCTTGCTCAAGGACCAGGGCGGATCCGGGTTTAGGGTGGATCAGGGTTTAGGGGGGATTTGGGTTTAGGGCGGTTCCAGGTTTAAGGTGATTCCTGCTGGGAATAGGGCTTATCCTGCTGCCTCAGGCGCCTTGAGTTCCCATTGAGTTCTCGCGGGATTCAGAGAGTATTTGGGATTCAGAGCCCGGTGGAGAGTGTGGATTTTGCACAGAACGTGCTTGTAGGGTGCCGGTGTGAGTTCAGGAATAAAGAATTGCTGTTTGAATCTACAAGGCTGTGAGTGGCTCGTGATTTTGTGCCCAGCCAGACTGCGGCAGTGCACCAACTCCTGTTCTATGTTAATGAGTTAACTGCATATGTAATTATTATTGTTCACCTCTTATACAGTAATCATTGTGCAGCAGTGGTTATTGCTCTGATTCTTCCTTATTTTCTTGGTATTTTCCTGTAACTACCTTAAACACAGGAAATGTTTACTTAAATATAACCATAGATAATCACAGCATCTCTGGTATGACTAAAAGATTCCCAAGGAGGGATTTACCTTCGGGTAAATAGAAGATAACTAATGCAAAACAATCTCTGTATTGGCACTCCTGTCCTCTGGTTGTATGATTCTGAGTAACTCAATTTAACTCTGTGGATTCTTGTCTCTGAAATAGGAATGATAATAATACCTCCAATATTTACTTCACAGAGGTACCAAAGGGAACAAATTGAATAAATAGCATCCTTCTTCCAGGCAACTAGGATAACTATGTCACAAATATTAGGGACAGACTTGAGTAAGATTATCTGAATGTGAATATGCTTTAGAAGCTGTAACATTCTGTGAACATCTCATGGGTTATTAGCAATGATCATTATAATCATAATAATTATACATTCAATTTCTTTTCCGTCCTAAACATATGAATATCTATAATTTGACAATAAATATCCTCTGCTATCTCACTGTCATCAACTAAAGATAAACATTGTCAGATAGCAGTGGCCTGGAGGATATCCTCTTGCTGGGATCCTGCTACCTTACACTGTTACTGTACATTGGGATTGAGGATGATAAATGGAGATTCTGCACATAGGATTTCTACAGGCCTTTGTAAATTTGTTGCCTCAACTTTGATAATTCCTAAAAGTGAGGCATATTCCTCTCTATTTGATATACTGATGACTCATTAGGCATAGATTCTGGCCCCTAGGTGTATTTGGATCCTGAAAAATTATAAGCAGGGTGCCTAAGGGAAGAAGCTACTGGGAAAATGAATAACACCAAAATTCACAACTAGCTTCTCAACTTATTAGAACTTCAGGGGGATGGCAGCAATTGGGTTAGATATAACCAGGAGCTAGATAGAAGTACTTCATAAGACTACGTTTCAAAGAATTCTGAATGTTTACTGTGTAGATCTCATTTCTACCTAAGAGACTACAATCTAGGCCAAATGAAGTTGAGCCTCAAAAAATGAGAAATAATTCAGAGGGAAACTTTGGCATAGATTATTTAGACAGACTAATGTAAGAGAGAGTGTATGAACATGGCAAATCATACCCCATCCAGATTTCCACTGAGGAAATACATGCATAATCTCCTATCTATTGCTTCTGTTGAAAAAGCATGAACTCTTCAGACTTGACCTCTAAGGATCTGATGATTCTGATGTCCTCTATTACCTTTGTGTTTATTTTTTATGAAGTGTGTGTGTGTGTGTGTGTGTGTGTGTGTGTGTGTGTGTTCTCCAAGAGTCGTCTCTTTCAGTAAAGCCATAACAGTTCCTGTGATCAGCAGAATCCTTTTTTGGGTCTTTCTGTTCATTATTAGGGTAAAATATATTCTTTCTACACATTATTTTCTCCAGTACAATCTTTAAATTGGATAACTCACATAATAACCTGCTGAGAATTATTTCAGAAATAATTAAGCTGTGGTCAGGAGCGAATGAGTCAGAACCTGGTATTTCCAGTCTTCTTGGAGGGTGGCTAAGGAAGTATTATTTGACCAGATAAATTTTATTTGTTTTTCTAAGGTGGGGTTCAGATCTGATCTAAAAATATGAATACTGAATATTGATCTGAGACCTATCTAGTTCATTTAATTCATCTCATATATTTATAAAGATTCAGAGAACCTAAATAAGCAAAATTTCCTGTCATTCTTAGGACTGTACAATTGCTGTCAAGTGGGATCTGAGCTTCATGGTGAATAACATGTAATTTAGCATTATTTCATTTTCTGTCTTTCTTTCTTTCTTTTAGATTAACAATTCATGCTGAGTGTCCTATGCATTTGGAAGATTTTCCCATGGATGTGCATGCCTGTCCACTGAAGTTTGGAAGCTGTATGTATTTTCTCAGTTGTTCACCTAATCTTTTTCCAAAAGAAACTTAATATATCCCGTTTTGTTCCCTTCAAGTTTCTTAAGCTGAGGGCTTTTATTTTAGATGGTATGGGAGTGGGTCAGGAGAGTGAAGTCAAGTAGTACTAACTGATCAGCAGGAGGAGAAAGCCTTTAACAGAGTTTTCTTTCCTAGCAACAAACCTTACTTCAGCATTTTAGACTAATTTCTCTGTCAGACTGAAGCATCAACATCTGTTTTCTAAATTGCCCAGAGGAGAGAGCACAACAGAGCTGATATATAGCACAGGAATAGCTTCCTAAGAACAAGATCTCTCAGAGAACGTGATTATATTTTTGAAGTGTCCATTCTACCTGCATCTTGATATACCTCTGCACAATTCTCAAAAGTAAATGGTAGACAGGAAAAACTCTGGAGACTTTATCTTTTAGAGTATTGCATTTCTCAGTAGCTGCAAATTTTACAGAGAAGAGAGTAGATACTCCATTGTCAAATGAATTAGAAAAATTAAAGTTGAATAAAAATTGAGGGTTTCTGAATCTAAGAATTGCAGAGTAACTTATGTAAGGAGTCATCAGATTAAGATATCAAAATCTGTGATGATCATTTCTAAATTAGATTTAGCTCTATGTTTTGAAATAGAAAGTGCTAATCAAAAGACTCAAATAATTATGTATGACATATCTTTTCAATCATTAGTTTGTCAAATATTTACAGATTGCCTCCTGTGTGTCAGCTTCTATTCTAGGAGCTTGGAATGCATCCATGAATAAAACAAAAACCTCTGACCATGTGGAGTTTATGTGATAAGAGAGGGATGGTGAAAGATAAAATAAACAATGAATAAAAAGTAAAGTATAAAATAGGTTGTAAAGTGAGAAGAACCATGGGGAAACATGAAAGCACTACAGAATAAGGAGAATCAGTCATGCCTAGACAGAGAATAGGTGTTACTATTGTAATTGAAAACAGAGTGATCAGGATCACCCTATTTTATTATGAAACAATATGGAGTTGGGGAGGCTAGGGAGAGGATGTGTAACAGGTACCAAAATGCAGTTAGGTAGGAGGAATAAGTTCTACTGTTCTATAGCATAGTTGGATGACTATAGATAGTTGTTATTTTGTATGTATTTGACAATAGCTAGAAGAGAAGTTTTGGACTATTCCCAGCACAAAGAAATCATGAATGTTTGGAGTGATTGCATATGCTAATTACCCTAATTATCCTGATTTGATCTTCACAAGATCACAATCATAATTCGTACAATTGTATACATGTATTGAAATATCACACTGCACTTCATAAATGTCAGTTATTATGTTGTCAATTAAAATTTTTCAAAAAGTGACATTTGAGCAGAAATTTTAATGAAGTAGAGGGGTTAACAATGCAGATATCTGAGGGAATAATGCTCTAGGAAACAGTAACTGCCCAAGGAAAAGATCAGAAAAGTATCTGCTTGTTCAATAAATATCAGAACAAACAATGTGGCTTCCCAGAATAAGTGGAAAGCACTGGAAAAGGATGATACTAAAGAGGGGGCCAGATCATCTAGAGTCTTGTAGGGCATTAGAGGGGTTTGAATTATATGCCAAGGGACAATGAGGAGTGATTAGAATATTTTAAACAAAATAATGCCATTATCTACTTATTTTTAAAAACATATTACAAGGGAGTTTTAAAATAATTAGAGACAGGATATAAGCATAAATGATTATTGCAATATTTCAGGTGACATATAATGATGGAGAGATAATGGAAATCATTAAACTATCTCAAGTCAAAGATGCTGATGGATCATCTCACAGAGATAGTGATAAAAGTGATGAGAAGTGTCCTGATTCTGGATATGTTCTGAAGGGAGATACAACAGGACCTCGTGATGGATTACATGTGTAGCATTATGACAGAGAACTCTCTGGTGACTTGTAGATTTTTGTACTAATGGATCTGCTATTGAACGAGACGAGTAATACTTCCATTTTGGGTAGGACAGAGTTGATTGTTTGTGACCATTGCTCTCATAGTAAACAACTAGAAAACCTAAAAGTATAGAATGGATAAGTATAGAAGAGACTAAAACTCTAGAGAAAGTGGGAGAACCTTTCATACATCAAATTATGATCTAACTTTCTATATCCCTGAGGCAATTTGCTAATTCTGGCCTTGGTTTGCATCTTGGATTCAGTTTGACTTCATTAACAGAGCATGAGGACATAAATCAACATGAAAAGCATTGAAAAGCAGAGTTGCCTTTCCCACAGTTTCTCAATGGTAAAAAGAAATATATGGCAGGTTGTCAGTTTAAAACCTTAGGAGCTATGTCGTAGTTACAAGGGAAGAATAGGGACACACTGGATTTAAGCAAAACTATAATCCAGCTCAGTCCCATATGGGATTAAGGTGAAATTTTCACACATAGCAAGGAAGGAATGAAGCCTCAGAAGAGAGGCTTCTATCTGAGTTTTACAGTTTTACATGCAATGTTTGGAATTTAACTTAAAAAATTGTGAGTCATATGAAAAAGCATGGCCATATGACCTAAAACCAAGATTTATAAGCAAGAAAACAAAATATAAAAAAACAAACATGCAGTTTATAGAAAAAGACTTTAAAATGTTTGGCTAATATGTTCAAGAAGAAAAAGAGGAAAAAATGAATAGAGGAGAAAAAAGACCATTTCAGGTGAAAATTGAAATCTATAAGAAGAATAAATTGAAAATTACTTATAGAAAAGTATAATATTTAAAATTCAGATTTCATAGATAGATTAACAAGCAGAAAACAATGTTAGATACCTGGAAAGTGAGTAAATGAAAAAATAGCACAATTGAAGCACAGAAAAACAAAATAAAGAAAAGAGTAAGAAGCACGTAGGACACAGCAAAATAAATTGAAATGTGTAAATTTTTAGAAGGTCCACAGGCAGAGAAAGGAGAAAAACAATCATTAACTAGTTAACACAAATCATTTTAAAACTGATGAAAATTATTAATTCAAAGACAAAGCATGCAAACACAAAGCACGATAACAAGAAGAAAACAATGCAAGAATAAAGCCAGATAATTTTCAGGCAAATATAATCCAGTATCAATTATCTACAACTATTTTAAAGCAATAATAATTCAGACAAGGTATTGTTGCAAAGACAGATGTATACACTGATGGAACAGAATAGAAAAGAGACATTTGATTCTTATTTCACATCATGCACAAAAATAAATTCCAGATGGATTTGTAGATCTAAATGTAAAAGGGTAAAAGGGAAAATGGTAAAGATTTTAGAAGAAAACATAATAAAATATCTTTATGATCTTTAAAGTGGTAGAGATTGTACCTTATACAATACTTTCTCTCTCTCTCTCTCTCTCTCTCTCTCTCTCTCTCTCTCACACACACACACACACACACACACACACACAGAGTAACCAATTACATTAGCAGGAAATGCAAAATAAAATCCAAAGTTCATTACTATTCACTCACTGAAATAATCAAAATGAAAAAGACAGAAAACATCACATATTGGTGAGGATATAGAACATATCTGTGCTGTCATGATGTACTGATAGGAGTATAGGTGTGGTGGTGCACACCTGTAATCCAACACCTGTAATCCATCAGCTCCGGAGGCTGAGGCAGGGAGATTGTGAGTTCAAAGCCAGCCTCAGCAAAAGTGAGACCCTAAGCAACTCATTGAGACTCTGTCTCTAAATAAAATACAAAATAGGGCTGGGGAACTGACTCAATGGTTGAGTGTCCCTGAGTTAATCGCCAATACCCTGCTCCCCCCCAAAACCAAAAAGAGTATAACTTCATAAAGTTTTGGGAAAAGTATTTGGTGGAATCTAATAAAGCTGAATATATACATATCATATAAGCTTGCATCTCTAGACCAGAGTTTGTTTCCAAATTAAGACAGTGTTTATATTAACCAAAAGGCACAAATGTATTTTTATTAGTGTACTATAGTTATACATAATATTAGAGTTAATTTTGACATAATTATACATGCATGGAATATAATTTGTTCCAATATCATTCCCCAGTACTTTCCCTTACCCTCTTCTCCTCCCTTTCCCTATTCCCTTTCCTCTACTCTCTACTGATCTTTCTGCTATTTATATGTGTTTGTTTTTAAATTAATACCTTGTGAATATATATGAACGTGAGATTCACTGTGGTATATTCATATATGTACATAGGAAAGCTGGGTCAGATTCATTACACTGTTCTGCCCTTATCCCATCGCTCCTCCCTCCCCCTCAATCCCCTTTCTCTACTCCATCTTCATGGGTCTCCTTCTTTTTCTTTATTTTCTTCTTTTGTTCTAGCTTCTGTATATGAGAAAATATATGACTCTTTAATTTCTGATTCTGTCTTATTTCACTTAGAATTATTTTCTCCATTTCCATCTATTTACCAGCAAATCATAGTTTCATTATTCTTTATGACTGAGTAATACCATATTTTCCTTATCTATTCATCTATCAACAGGTACCAAGATAGGCTCTATAGGCTGGCAATTGTGAATTGTGCTGCTATAAACATTGATGTGGCTGCATTCCTATAGTATATTGATTTTAGATCTTCTGGATGTATACTGAGGAATGGGATAACTGAGTCATATTGTGGTTCCCTTCCTAAATTTTGAGGAATCTCCATACTGCTTTACAGAGTGGTTGCACTAATTTGTAGTCCAATCAACAATGTATGAATGTACCTTTTCCCCCACATCCTCACCAACATTTATTAGTAGTAGTATAGAACCAAACTTTTTAATGTTTTTTTAATGATCATTATTGACATGCAAGTTGTTAAATAAGAAATAGCAAGTTTTTAAGTGTTTAAAAGTGCCTGGTAGTATATGGAGGAAACTCAGAAGTATAACTAAGAAGAACAAATAAAAATAAATAAATAGGGCTGGAGTTGTGGCTCAGTGGTAGAGCACTTGCTTAGCACATGTGAGGCACTGGG